GATTGATTGATTGCCTTTATTACCCCAAGAAACATTATTGTTTAAAATAGGGATATATACAACGAAACATACTGTAATGATATTTCCCTTAGAGGGGCTCTAGAAACATCATCAGTAAGACAGGAGTACAACGATCATCCTGTAACACGCATCCCAGATTGTTCTCCAACCTCCCAATGATTCCTACATACACCAGCATATTTCCGAACACTCAATATATGCTGCAGTGACAAATAAAGTGACAGAAGATTCTGGAATGTTCTGGAAACGATCGATGGAACAATTAGAGGGAGAGGTTTTGTTCTAAGAAGCTTCTAAAACAAAAAGACGACCGAACAACTGCCGTCAATCAGTTAAGCAGCGAGTGTCAGAGAGACAGTTTTATACCGCGTGATATAAATCGTTTTACATAAATAGTAGTTATAAGTTCCATATAAATTAGTGTTTCTTTAGTTCAAATAAATCAGTTTGAATATAAATAGTGTGGTATTCGCTTCTGCACCCGAATAACGTAACAATACATATAACATAATAAATTGAAACAATAATAATTGCACAATTATTGTTTTTCATGAAAAAAATTATAATAAAGTATAAAATGAAAATATTATAATCCATTACAAGTAATCAAATTGTGAATGATAAGTAGATATGGAATTAAAGTTTACTGAGCAGATATTTCTTCAATTTGATTTTAAATTTTTCTGCTTCTTCTATATTTTTCAACTCATTAGGTAAGGAGTTATGTAGAATTATTCCATTATGGAATATTGATTGTTTACCAAAATTTGACTATTATTTGCTATCAATAAATTAAATTGCCTTGTTTCGTGGGCGTGAATCATATTAACTTCATAAAAATTCAAATTCGATATTTCCAATTCCTTCCTGACAAAATGAATAAAACAACAAATTTTATAGTTTATATAATGAAACTAGATTCAGCAAGTCTTTAGGTTTATATAGATTCACAGTTGATTCTAAAAAAGGTAAATTGAAAATGCACTTTATTGTTTTATTTTGTAATTTCATGAGTGGCTTCAAACGTGAAATATTTGTGCTTCCCCAAATAGATATTAGATATTGTAATGGTGGAGCTAACTCTGCGGAACCATTGCCAGAGAACTGATATTCTTCATAAATATATTTTATATATCTAATTGATCGGGATTTCTATAAATGTATAAATGTGAATTAATAAATCAACTCTTACATATTGTAGTTATTGAAGTTATTGATATATTCAATATTAAAAACACGCTTTTCATCAACAAAAGCAAGCCCTCAAACAACACCGCCAAATTGCTACGTGCCTATGAAATATCAGGTTAGGAAACTTTTAACTAACTTTTCTTCACAGATTTGACACTGACACTTATGAAATAGTCTTATCTGATTTAGATTTATAATGTTGAATGAGTTACTGAAACAGCAAAAACTGATCACACAACAGCCGGAAAACTATTAATAACAACAAAACAAAAACGACAAGTTGGCGGTGCCACCAGCTCAATCTTTGATTATTGTTTGTCAACTAAGAAAGTTGGCGGTGCCGCCACGTTAATCTTTAAATAATTCTTTTTTATTATTATTATGTTATGTATCTTAGAATAACCAAAAAGTTTATAATGATCAGTAGTGAATTTATTTTTTATAGCTGTATTATTATGTTATGAAGGTTGTTTTATTTTTTGGCCTAAGCTATTTATAGTAGAGTGCCAATCGAATCCTATCGTTCACCCCGTGGGAAATCGGAGGTAAAAAGCTGTGACATGGTTAGAATTGTTACCTACCATCTCCAGATCATGGATCCACTTGTCGTCAAAAAATCGTCCTGTGCGTTTGGGGGGTAGGGGGTAATTTATAAAAAAATATGGATTTTTTTTTTATTCGTGGAAAATATTTATGGGTTTCAGAACTTCCACCCTGTTAAATCTTGATTTCGTGTGACAAGTAGAACAAATTATAGAAAACTTTGAAATTTACTAATTACATTACGATATATGAGAGAATCATATTTCAAACGCCTATAACTCAAAACTTGTAAATTCTCGTTAAATTGTTTTTCATATACCTCGCATTATCTCAGTAACTACAACGTTTATCAAAAAAATACTTCGGCTAATGTCGATGCGCCTATGTTTCAAGATGCGAATGGTTCTTCGATTTTGAAAATCGAAGCATAAATAAGAAAGATATTGAGAAAATCATAATGCAATGCAGGTACCACGGACGATCGCGTTTCGCCGCAATCGTACCCCTATTCTCCCCGCAATACCCGCGGCTATCATGGTTCCATACGCTTTCGTTATACACATCAACATTGAGGCGTTGACCATTGCATTTAATGGTGACTTATTGTGAATTAATTATTCGATATTTGGTACTGTGTGCACTGTTTCAATAATTAAATAAGTATTGATTAGTTAACGAAATCTATTATTGTGAATTTACCATAAGATATATGTTTCCCTAGATAAAAGATGGAAAGTACTAGCAATTCAGACACTGATCTTGAATAAGTATGTCTTGAAGTTGAAGATTCCTTTCCAGCAGAGTACAGAATCATCGAGAAAATGTTTAATTTGTGGAAAAGATGGTCAACTTCTTCGTTGTACAGAATTGTCGATAAAAACATTTGAAAGTTGTATGAATATAAGAAAAAACCTCGGAAAAAAACTATGCGAGGCAAATCTATGGAAAATAAAGGTCGATTGATCTTCTGGCACAGGAATATTGAAAACTGGAGACAATAATGTCAGGAATAAAACGCTTTCTATAGTGAAATTGATGTGAAGGTATTTTTGATGTGTCTAAATGAATTTTCTACCAAAAACGTTCAAATAAGAATCAAGTTCTGACCTAGTATTGACTACCAACATTGTTAATTGCCATGGAAGTCAAGTATCATAACCAATGCTTTGTATCGAATTGGAAACATTATAGAGGATCACTGAGTGAGAATAAAGTTGTCACTCCACACATGACAAAGAATTTGATAATCTGATAAAATTAATAGATGGTGCAGATTTTCTAATGAAAAAGGGTATACTTTCAACTGTTTATATCAAAAATATGCCGAACTTGGTGGCAAAACTGGTAGGAAAATCTCAATCGAAGATTACTTACTGTCTGTAGGTTAATCGAGAAGGTGAAACATTCATTTTACTTGATTTTTTGGGATTTTCTCTCCTCGTTTCTTTGGACGGTTCGGCAACGACTCTGCTCCCGTTCTCAACATGAAAATGCAACTTCCGAAGAAAAATGTTTTGCATTTTTATGTTGGGAACGGGAGCAGATTCGTTCCCGAAACGTCCAGACGAACGAGGAGAGAAAATCTAGAAAAATCAAGTAAAATGAATTTATCGAAGAAATCAGAAAGCACTACGACAAGGAAATAGACATTATCAATGAATCAAAACGTTTTAATGAGTCGTAATATGTGATTTCAAAAGTGACAAATACTCATCTGATTCATACACATATAAAGAACAAAGTGAATGCATCAGATATGACCCAGATACACAAATCGAAATTTTTTTGAGATATTCATCAAGATAATATGAGAGATATTCCAGATTATGAACAACTCAAAAATATGGATGTCAAGGCTTACAAGGATATGATACCAAAAAAACTTTTTTAAAAGTTGCCTTATAGGTACACGATAAAGTTGATTCAGTTGATTCAAAGGTGTTCAGTATCACAGTATCTGATGTCAAGGTATAATACTCGCTAATTCGAAATTCAAAAAACTCACACCGAAACACGTTGGTTTGGGAATAATGATTCATCAAGAGACATGATGGCAAAAAATTATCGTAGCTTTGTGTTCTTGTGGACACTGTATCGTATATTTACGTGTATTTACAACTTCGCAATTCGAGGTATCAAATAATGTTTTTTTCAAGTTTCCACATGGATATCTTATTTTTATTTCAATATCATATGCATCATGTTTTGTTTCAATATTTGTCAATTTGTTAATAAATGAGATGGTTCACATTTTACTCTGATGGATAATAAATGTACTTTCGAGATAGAATCATTCATAAAATAAATGGAGGGCACTTCCAATCAAACAGCAAGTTAAAATAAATTTCTATTTACTTGGAAAATAGCGATCAATTCCATTTCTCCCGTGAATTCCAAGATCGTACTGTACTGTAACACTCAGTATTTCATATTTACGGTGATCGTACTAGGACGGCTGCGGGCGTTGCGGGGAGAATCGGGGTATGAAAGCGGCGAGTCGCCGTCCTTCGTACTACCTGCATTGGAATATGATTTTCCCAATATCTTCCTTATTTATGCTTCGATTTTCAAAATCGAAGAACCATTCGCATCTTGAAACATAGGCGCATCGACATTATTTCAAGTATTTTTTTGATAAACGTTATAGTTACTGAGATAATGCGAGGTATATGAAAAACAATTTAACGAGAATTTACAAGTTTTGAGTTATGGGCGTTTGAAATATGATTTTCTCATATATCGTAATGTAATTGGTGAATTTCAAAATTTTCTATAATTTGTTCTACTTGTCACACGAAATCAAGATTCGACAGGGTGGAAGTTCTGGAACCCATCAATATTTTCCATGAATAAAAAAAAATCCATATTTTTTTATAAATTACCCCCTACCCCCCAAACGCACAGGACGATTTTTTGACGACAAGTGGATCCATGATCTGAAGATGGTAGGGAACAATTCTAGCCATGTCACAGCTTTTTACCTCCGATTTCCCACCAACTTTTGATCTAAGCGACTTACGGTTCGTTTGGCACTCTACTATTATGACGAGTTGAATAAAAGGTTTTATAACATTTGTCAGTTCCGAAGGATTAACAAATTGACATCCGAAAAATCTTCTCTAAATTTCGATTTGGCAGCGGTTCCACAGAGGTGTTCAGAATGTGATGCTTTTTCCACAGAAGAACATAGCCGAAAAAATCACTCTATTCAACTAGTTACTCTGAGGGCTAAATATCACACTTACCTTATCATCAACATTGAATAGTTGCTTAACGTGTTTTTCATAAAAATCTTTGGCTGTTATAGGTCCAATGCTATGAAAAGCCTTGTTCTTGTCATAGTATGTCCACGTGAATGTTTCATCTGGAATACCAAGACAGATGCCCACAATACGATAGATGTTGGTCATCTGATCTTCTATGAGGGTCTGTATGTCCGCATCGCTGGCACCCTTCAAGACAAGTACCCTAATTGCTTTGGCGTACTCTCGCAGTTTGCTCTTCAATACTTGGTTCATTTTCAAGCTGGATTCGCAATTGAACGATTCCGGGAAATTTTTCTTAGGCATCAGTCCATGTTTATTAACCAAGTTGACTATCATGTCCCATTGGCCTCCATCTGTTGTGGGATCCTACAAATTGAAACATCATGAGGTCAAAAATCCAAAAATTGAGAGAATTAAGGAAAAAATTGAGGTACTATCAGGACTTAATCAATGACTTTATACCTGAATTAGATAATATCCTAAACAAATGCAGAACAAAATCTATATTGATAGGTGATATAAATATTGATCTCCTTAAGAATAACTCCCCTGAGCATGATACTTACATGAACACAGTAACTTTAAATGGTTTCAAGATTTGTAATATGATTGGGGAAGATTATGTAACACGCCTAACTACAAACTCCAAATCTATCCTAGACCATGTACTGACAAATAAAAGTTTAGACTGCCACATATCCATCGGAAACCATATAACAGATCATAAAATTTTAAATATATTACTCAAAAATAATTCAAAGACTCCAAATATCCTGAAAAAAACATACTACAATCATACAGTAGTGAATCAAAATATGTTTAGAGACAAATTCCAACAACTGAGAAACAGACATGAAATAAATAGCTTTGAGAAACTTTCATCAGCCATACAGGTTTGCAAAAATGAATCATCAACTCAACATAAAATAAAACATAAAGAAGGTAAGGATTGGATTACAGTGGAATTCATAAACTTGATGAAAAAGCGTGATAAATTATATTCGGAAAAAACAAAATACCCATTTGATCAGGAAGTAGCTAGGCAATTTCAAGTGCAAAAAAAAACTGTAGAGAAAAAACGAAAACAGCTGAAACAGGAGTATTTTGAAAAAAAATGGAAGGACACAGGTACTGATCAAAAGAAGCAGTGGAAACTCATTAACAATCTGATTAAAGGTGGTAAACAAAAGGGAAATATTAACAACATTGACTTTGAAGGGCAAATTCTAGATGATAACAAAAAAATAGCTGAACAAATGAACAGGTATTTTGTTAATATTGGAAGTACAGTAATAAATAACATAGAGCCTCAAGTAGACCCAACTGCTGGTTTTGAGGAAATCCATTGTGATTGCTCAATGTATCTTTACAAAGTTAAATCCCAAGAAGTTCAGGAAGCACTTGACAAACTAAATAAAAAATCAGCACCTGGTTATGACAATATAAATACGAAAGATCTACTGCTACTCAAAGAGTACATTATACCAATACTGGTTAATCTTATAAATGAATCATTTAAGCAAGGTATATTTCCTGATATCCTCAAAATCAGCAAAGTCACACCTATCCACAAAACTGGTCCAAAAAACATTATGGATAATTACAGGCCAATTTCAGTAATCCCCACACTATCTAAGGTTATCGAGATTATATTGAAAAAACGTATTATCAATTTCATGACGGTGCATGTCAATTTTGATGAATACCAATATGGGTTCCAAGAAAATAGCAATACTTTGAGTGCAACTATGGATTTCGTTAACTATGTTGCTTCCTCGCTGGATGAAAAATACTTCGTTCTTGCAGTATTTGTTGACTTGCGAAAAGCGTTTGACGTAGTAGATTTTGATATATTACTTAGTAAGATTGAAAAAATGGGAATAAGGGGAAATGCTCTCTCGTTGATCAAAACATATCTGATAAATCGAAACCAATTTACAATAGTTAATGAACAATCTAGTGAAACCGAAAACACAACAGCAGGTGTGCCTCAAGGGTCTGTCCTTGGGCCTCTATTATATACACTACATGTACTATCCTTAAAAAATGCTAAGCTTAACTGTAGATATTTCAAATTTGCAGACGACACCGTTCTTGTATATAAAGATAAGGAGATTGAACTACTAAAAACAATGATAAGCACAGATCTCGCACGCTATTATGAGTGGCTTAAAAATAATAAACTTCAACTCAACACTAAAAAGACAACATATATAATTTTCACACAGAAAAACAAAAATGTACAAAATCTCACAGTGGAGATAGGAGGAGAAGAAATATCTCGAGTTCATGATGTTAAATATCTAGGATTAGTAGTTGATGAAAACCTAAATTGGTGTAATCATATTAACCACATAGAAAAAAAAGTAGTACCTATGATAGGTGCCCTATATCGCTGCAGAGACTACCTAAGCCCATCTTCATTACGCCAAATCTACAGTGCATATTTCTTATCAATATTTACATATTTAATTCCAATATGGGGTACATGTGGAATAACACTTTTCAATAGAATTAAAGTTCTTCAAAATAAAGTTATCAAAATCTTATTCAGGTTAAATTATAGAACATCAACAGATGCAATATACAAAGAAACTCAAATCCTACCAATTCAAGACAACTTGAAAATTGAGCAAGGGAAATTTGCATATAAGGTTATAAGAAATGAACTTAAATGTAATACCAACTTTACTTTTGTTAATCAGCTACATGATCACAATACCCGAACACAAAATAATATCTTCTTAGAACCTGTGCGTACCAATATGGGCCTAAACAACCCCATCAGTCAGTGCATGAAGACTTACAATACTCTTCCCAAAGAAATAACAGATAGCCCAAATGTTAGTATTTTTAAGAATCAGATAAAAAATTTCTATACTCATAAACTGAATGAGAGACCCACATAATTTTAAGTTGAGCAATGTAGGTTGTAGGTATATTGTAAACATTAGGGAGAGTTGTGATTAGATAGGTAGGTACATACTGTTTCCGCATCCTATGATATTATAGTTGATATACATATATAATCAATTTCGAATTGTAATTGTATATGTTGCAATTGTTTTTTTAGTAAGTTTTCCGAGACCAGCATTAGATGCTGCTTTGGATAAACCTTTGTCAGATACTGCATTAATATTTAACATTCATTTAACATATCTGTATATCTATATATTATTTTTTTTTGTAGCACTATCTGAATAAAGTTCTTGAAAAAAAAAAGTTATCGCCTATAAGATATGCATGCCATACCTTCAGATTAGGAATGAAGAAGCGGGCATATTTATCTGGGCGATCATTTTGCGCACCTGTTGCAAAGCAGAGATGTTTCTTAAATTACAATGGATTCGAGGGACGTAAATGAATATACCACACGTGATATGAGCCCTGCTAATTCTACAACGTCAGATATTAATTGGGCATATTATGGAATTTATCTCTAATATCATGTGCTGCTTTGATGCTAGTTGTCCAGTAGTTAGGAAAATCAAAAAAACGACACCAGCAATAAAAAAAGATATTCAGCCGATTTATCAAAAAGCAGGGATACTTGGAACACACTCCATCTTCTTATGACATTCACAGATTTGAACAATGCTGAACATATATACAAAAATAAAAGAATATACAGAGCTCAATTGAGAAAAACTAAGGCAGATTACTATCAACAAAGAATAATGAAAGCTCAAAATCAAATGTTCAGAATTACCTTCCAAGATGTTAGCTTAATGGGTTATTATTTATTTACGGTTGATCAAATTAATTTGGGTATATTTGTAATATTCAGAACAATAATTTAATAATAGTTTGTACTTTCGCGGGACTGAGGGGCACTTCCACTCCTTCCACGGAGACATCGCCTCTGCGCGAGTAATACATTTTGAGCGGGCGCACACCTCAGACCGCATTGTTCTTGCATTTTTATTCATTTTGTGAAAATTTACATTCTTTATATCGATTCCCATATGATAGACATCATTATATTCGTGAGTGTCGTGGCCACAGAAAATAGCAGAACTTTCCTAAAATCCTTGGATGAAAAACATCACGGCCGGGATGTCCAACAATTATCATAGCAGCGTCTTATCTAGGTAAGTGGAAGTACTATCTTGCTATTTTATGATACAACTATTATCGCATACAGTCCATTCAACCGCAACACAAATTAAAGAAACATAGAAAATCGTAAATAAACACTTGTGTAGAAATAATAATTCAGCGACAACAATTTCTTTGCACTAAAATGACAGAATTATCACTGACACCAAGGATTTGACGAACACTTGTGCTGGTTTTTTCATAACTCTTTCGGTTCAATCACCTTTAACACATGCACCGTATCTGATGAAGTGTTAATAAGTAGGTATTTTTGTACCATTCATGGAGGAGTATGAAGTAATGAATAGCATTACAAATTCTTCTAGAACTGATTATATGTCACCAAAAATAATCAAAATTATTGCTGATGCTAGTCAATGTATCCTTACAATCTGAAAAATTTTCTGATTTGATGAGAGTCGCCCTTATTTCTCCTCTGCTCAAAAAAGGTAGTTTGCATTCCATTATCGTCAGATATCTCTTTTGCCAGTTACATCTAAAATCCTTGAAAGAGCAGCATATGACATGATTATGGGTTTCATTGAAAAAAATAATGTATTATCAATATCACAACATGGTTTCAGAATATATAAATCTGTAGAAACGGCAACAAACCACCTTTTGGATTATGTATATCACGAGTTAGATTGTGGAAAATATGTTGCTTCATTGATGTTTGATTTGTCTAAAGCATTCGACATTATAATTTTTGAATTTACACTTAAAACAACTTCGCGCCATTGGGATTAGAGGAGTCAAGTTGGATTGAATTCATTGCTATTTAACAAACAGAAAATTATTGTTTAAAATCGAAAATGATCTGTCAGAAAGTCACGAGGTTCCCCTTGGTTTTCCCCAGGGATCGGCCCTTTCATTTTCATTATTTTCGCAAATGATCTACCAAGAAATATCAGCTTAGATCAAATCACTATGATTGCGGATCATACTACCATAACTGTACCAGTAGCGACTCTAGAGGAGATACATGAAAACATTGAAATTACCTATAATGAGATGACGTCTTGGTGTCAACGAAACAAACTCATATTGAACAAAGGAAAAACAATTTTTACCTGCGCCGTGCGGTGCCTTCAAACTTCCAGTTACCTGTTGAATTGTCTTCACGAAAAATGTTAAATTGTTAGGAACTTTCATCGACTCACAACTTTCGTTTAGTGCCCAGATAAATCATGTATGTACAAAACTCAACAAAGCATACTATGCAATATTGCAAATGAAACCATATCTGGACGAGAAAAGTCTTGTAA